AAGAATCTGCATTGAAGTCCATTTGTCGCTTCTTTCTGGCGACTTTTGGATAGGGTTTAGGGTTACAAAAAATAGGGTTCAGGGTTCAGGGCTTTGGGGGTTTACGCTCTCAGGCTTAGGGCTTTGTGTTTAGGGTTCTGGATAAGTTCTACGGTAATTAGTTCTGTGAGATTTCGAACAGGGTTTATGCGCTCGTTTTGCGTGTTTTGGTGCAGGTTGTACCAGAATTGCACAGCAAATTTCCGCCACTCTCCGGGAATTTGGGTTTTCGGGCGTTTCGCGCTCTTCTCGGCCGAAGCCTGAGGGCTATCTAAACCCCCCAAAGTAGGTAAAATAATGGCCCAAAGCCCATAAAAAGGCTATTATTCTACATACTTTTGGGGTCCAGGTATCCAGTATTCTAGAAATTCTCGGGGAACTGAAGCTTGACCTGTGGGATTATATAGATGGCACCCCAACAGGTTAAAGTTTACTTAGTCTAATCCCTTCCCCCTACCATTAAACGGGCCCCCCACCCAAAAAAAACTCGGACAGTACTTTTTTTAATAGGGGGTATGTTTATCTCTACCGCCACTCTTGAGGGGTCGTGCTCATGCTCCTGCTCTGGCTCTTGTTCCCGCGCTGGCTTTTGCTCCTGCTTCTGTTAGGTCTCTTGTGCCTGCTCCTGCTCTTGCTGTTGCGCCCACTTTTGCTCCTGCTCTTACTCCCGCTCGTGCTTTTGGTTTGCTTGCTCCTACTGTGCTCTAAGGGTTATTTGGAGCCTCGAAACCTCCCCCTAACTCAGAACAGGCTTTAAGGGGCAGGGATGATATCGGGAGGATTCGCCCCAATGTGTTTTATGATTAGGGGGGTGTTTCATAGATGGGGGAAGCGATTACTACGGAGGGTTGCTTCGGGCTCAAAAGGGTGGCAAAGGCCTGCTCCAAGCAGTCTGCTTTCGGGATTTTCGGGTTGGAGGGCCTAGCGCGGTCGCAGGGCTTCGAGGGATTTCGATTTGAGGGAGACTATGATCTACAAACCAAGAGTTTACCGTAGACTCTAAGCCCTGAATCCCTAACCCCTAAACCCTTAACCGCCGTTGAACGAAAAAGCCACCTCTCTTGACAAGGATTGTAGTGGGGATTCTACGACGAAGGCCCCTGAGGACGAAGGCCCCTGAGGAATGGGACGGGCTGATCAACATCTACATCCTAAACCTCAAACGAAACCCCTAATATACATATACTATTTTGTGGGGGTTCCTCACTTGAAAACAGAGTAGAACCCCAAACCCTTACGCCTCTCAGAGAGTTTCGGAATCGGGAGTTGCTCCCTGGCCTCCAAACCCTAAACCCTAAACCGCATGGCCTCCTCCTTCTGATTGCTCAGAAGCGACATGGCCGCGGAATGCTCGCGATCCTTGTTGTGAATCAGGTACCTGGGCTTTGGGCTTAGGTTTTGGGGTTTCGGGTTTCGACACTCACACTCGCACACAGCTTCGGTCTCCAGTACAGGGCTAGCCAAGAGTTCCGGGCCTAGGCTTTGTAGGCCCTCCCCTGAGATACGCTTACTTGACCCTCCTAGGCTTTTTGGCCATCTGGAGGCTGCCTAGGAGCAGGACATGGGTTTCAGGGTTTCGCGTTTAGGATGCGCTTAGGGCATCTATCATTAGTAGGGTGGGGGGGGGGGCCTTGAGACTTACACTGAACATGACGGAATGAACGAGTCAAGGTCGTCTGATTAAGCTAGTCAGAGCTTTGTTGTTAGACCTGCCGTTCTCCTTAGAAGAAGTACTGCCTTGGCGTTTGTATATACAGACATGCATGGTAACACGATCGCACCAGTTCGTAATGTCAGTCATATTCCGAACAAGCCGGATGCAGCCAAAGTGCATCGTCTGAATTATCGGCGGGAGCCTTGGTTCTTCAGCGTTGCCGCTCACCACAGTGGGCATATGTGTATTGCAGAGGACTGCCTGGCCTCGCAAAGTACATCAGTAATGCTACTATGGAGTGCCACTGACCAGCGGTAGTGTTGCCCCGTGGCGCGGTGGCAGCAGTACTAGTGCGATACAGCAGGAAAAGCACCAGCAGAACCAGCAGCACCAGTGCCAGCAGCAGTGGCGAGGAGAAACCATGATAAACAACGTCGCAACATACCCAAAGTACACAAATACACTCCTCGGGTCCTAAATCCTAAACAACAAACCGTGCTTACCAGCCCGTCCTGCTCTCTGACACCAGGAGGTTGACATGAGGATCTGAATACTCGGGGCACAGGGAACGTCATGGAGACCTACTTCTGTTCGTGCTACCACGACTGTCGCTACTCCTTGCTTCACAACCACGAAGACGCTAGCACCTCCAGGATTGAGGTCTTGGCCTGGTACTGGGATAGATACCATTGACCGAGGTCGGTGGTTCAATGTCAAGAGCTTTCCGGGGTTGATAAGCATCGGGTATGGAAGGTAGCCCGCGTCTGAGGCCTCCACGAAAGACCATCTGACTCCTAGCAGACATTCTGTCAAGCGAGCAGGGCCCGCCAACAATAGCAAAGGCTGCAGTGGAGTCTACAGGAGGCAGAAGGCATTACCCTAGAAACTCCAGTGACGTGCGGTGCACATGGGCTGGTGCACGGGTAGCAAACACACGTAGAAGTTAACAAGAAGAGAGCGAGAGAGATGGAGCCAAAACAAGATATTTACTCTACACATGGGGGTGTCTGTGTGGCGGGTGGGTGAGTGGATGGAGTGAAGTGGAGTAGAGTGGGTGTTTGAGCGAGTGAGTGACTCAGGAAATGAGTGATTGGTTTTAGCATCTTTCAGAAACTTTCAGAAACTGCAAGGCCATCACATTCACCCTCTGGTCCTGCGGAATTTTCCGGTTCAGAAGAAAATGGCCCTTGCTGCCCGGATCGCCGGGTTCAGCTCGTAACCTCGAAAGCGGGCGGTTTGGGAGCTCCCATTAATTACGGTTTCTAAAGGGCTTCCTGGTTAAGGGCCAAAGCCCAGTGACAGAAAACAAAGAGGCCAGAATGGGACCCTTTCCCCTACACGCACGACACCCGCACCCCAAATCTCAAACCCCAAAACCCACCAGAGCCTGGTCCATGATTAAATCCCCAAACCCTTTTCAGCACGGGCTTTGGGTGTATGGCATGAGACGCCAGAAAACTTGAAACCAAACTAATCCCTCAACCCTAAACCCGGAACCCTTTTTGCTGCTGCAGGCCCCTGAACCCTACACACCCAAGACCCTAAACTCCAAACCTTGAACCCTGAACCCCTAAACCCTAACCCTGAACCCTACACCCTACTTTAAGAAACCCCCTACACCCTACTTTAAGAACCCCCTACACCCTCTTTTGAGAACCTCCCCCCCCCACACCCTATTTTGAGAACCCCCCCCCCTACACCCTATTTTAAGAACCCCCCTACACCCTAAACACTAAACCCCAAACCCTAGACCTTAAACCCTAAACCCCTATACCCTAAACCCACCCTATTTCAAGAACCCCCCCCCTCCCCCCGGGAATCCGAAGCCCCAAAGGAAACCCTGAAAGGGCTCGCATGCCAAAGCGGCCTCCCCATCTCATCCTCGGGTTGCAATCGTTGTATGCTTGGGGTTGGTAGGGTTTAGGGTTTAGGGTGTAGGGTTAGGGTTTTTGGCTTTAGGGTTTCTAGGCGTTAGGCCTCATTGTGTAGGGCTCACCGTTTTGTTTTTGGGGCGGTTTATTCGGGTTTATATGGAAGGGGGGGGTTTTAGGGTTTGGGGCTTACGGCTTTTCGGGTAGTTTGTTTAGGAGTTGAAGGCTCGAGGGCCACGGGACTCTGGTGCTTAGCGTTTCGGCGCCAGGCAAGGAAGGCTGAGGCTGGGGGCTTTGGGGCTTTCGGATCTCGAGTCTTGGGGTATGGACCTGTTGTGGGGCTTAGGGTTAGGGCTTGGGGTTTAGGGTTTAGGGTTTAGGTTGTGTAACTGTTTGCGCCCCCCCCAACCGCTCAAAAGAGACACAACAAGCTAAAGCCTAAGCCCCTCGAGTCGAAATCCCAAGTCCAAGAACCGTAGCCCTAAACCCCAGAAAGTTGGAACATGGGTCTAGGGTGATTCGTGCTAGGATTCCTTACACTTCACCTTTGGAGCATGAGGATTATACTCTCTTCTTCAAGAGCCAAGCCCAAAAAAAATCAAACTTTTTAGGATGGTCCTAACATATAAGGCCAAAAAGTTTAAAGTTCTCCTATTGGCTATCTAAGTAATTATAATGTTTCAACTTTGTGGCTTGAATCCCCAACGGCTGCCAGGGCTCGACAAAGAGGAACCACTCGGGCCACTGCTTCGATGAGATGAGGAAGTACCCAGGCATCTCCTAACATCAAACCCTTCTTCAAGTAGTAGCGTTTTCTATTGGAGCTCAGCAAGGGAGTTGTCGGATTTGAAGGTTTTCACACACAAGTTTTATGCGAGCTACGCAGTTTTCGATAAGGCTCTGGGGCATAGTTAGAGCGTCTTAGAGTAGAATTACAGAGGAACTGCCCAGGGAATACTACGACCTCGGTCGTGGCCGTGTCTGGGAAGAATCTTTGATGGGGCCAGGGTCCGGATTAAGGCCTACGGGTGGCTTGGGAACTCCGGCCTCAGCTATAATGCATGCGCGGGCGGGGCGGGCATTCTTTGCATTCCTTTTGTACACTTATAACCCTAAACCAACTCCTAAACCCTCAACCCACTTATGGCTTTTCCTCGGGAAGCCTCGACTAACGGGTGCAGGGCTTGCGGTCAGGGATGTAGGCATCGTTGAGGGCTTCAGGGTTTCTAGGGCTCGGGGGGGGGGGAGGGGGGTTTGGAATTGTAGGGTTTTGCAGGTAGCCTCTGCTTGAGGTGATGGTTTAGGGTCAGGGTTAATAGTCGAGCTTTCAAGGTGAGCTTCATCGTCGGAAACCCCGGCCCAACCGCTGAAGCTCACAAGCCCCTATGCAAGGCGGGACGGGAAGCCCCCTCTTCTTCCACTGCTGGGGGCAGGATGCGATAAAATCAGTAACACTCTCTAAGAGATACATGCGTCCCATGTCACATCCGGTGCTGTTCCGAGACAGTTTATGGTCCAATATCTCATTGGCTACTCGTAGGCCGGCGGCTTCACTAATTCCGCATCCAGTCCTCGATGACAAACTGCCCTGCTTTGCCAGGCTCGCCGCGCTTGCCGACAACATGCAGGTAGCTACTGAACTCGTCCTGGTCACAGAACAGATTCAAACCCCAAGAGCCCTAACCCGAACATGGGCACCTGAATAATCAAAGTGCGGCTTGACGGCTACTATTCAATCGAGAAATGACCTTGACACAACGCCCAAACTCTAAGCTGCTCACTCACGCGCCCCCTTTTTGTCTGAAGCTGCAGCCTGCATCCCTTTTGTCTTAGGGGGTGTAGGGTTCAGGGTTCTGGGCCGGTTCGGACCATGTTTCGCCCCATGACGAAGTAGCCTTCCGAACCAAATCAAGCCCTGATGCCCTAAATACTAAACCCTAGGCCCGAAACCCTAAGCCCTAAGCCCCAAGCCCGAAACCCTAAGCACTAAACCCTAAACCCTAAGCCCTAAACCCGAAGCCCTAAACCCTAAGCCCTTAAGCCCTAAGCCCTAAACCCTAGCCCTTTCCACAGGCTTGAACTGAGCTCGCCCGGTCAGAACCCTCGCAGCACAAAACCCTAGCCCTAAACCCTAAACCCTAAGCCCTAAACCAAAGAGGTAAGGAGGCTTTAGGACCTCGAGCTCCGGGCTGCCCCTTTGAGTAAAACAAACCCAAAGACCGAAGCATCTACATCTGCACAGTTGCTACACTCCGTGGCTGTTCATCGCATGATGTCAGCTAGGGATTTAGGTTTTATTTTTTTTGGGGGGGGGTTATGGTTTGGGGCATCTGCTTAGGACTTAGGTTCTTGGTCCTTGGTTTAGTATTTAGGGTTCCAATCTACGGGAAGCCTGACCTTGTGTAGGCACTGTAGTGACTGTCGTGCTTCCCCACATACGCTTTGCTCATGATGAACCATGTAAAAAAAGGACTCCCGCTAGACAATCGGAAAGCCTGCACCCCACATGCTCAAACAGAAAGGCTTATGGATATCTTGCAATGGTGCCCGTGCAAGCCTTGATCGTGGCTCTTCTAGAAAACAACATTTGTAGCCCAGATGTCAGTTCAGGCTTGGCCCTTGCTAAGGATCCGGCTCTAAGATACCAGAAGTCACTGAAAGTAACTTTTACTGATATTGCTCAGGATGCCAGCGTTTGCTACTATTTCCACCTTACATTGCATCCCGATGATGATGGCAACTGAAAACTGCGTTCCTTCACAAGGATTCGGGGCCAGGGGAGCAGGGAATTGTGTAGAGTCCGGGGTCGATGAGCAAGCAATGCAGGGGCCTTAATATTAGAAATAGGGTTGTTTTGGGCTCCGCTATAATTATGAGAAGGAATCTTGATAAGTGTTTGGCCCCTGGTAGTATTTGGGGATGAGCCCAGAGCCTAAACCAACCATAGCTGGGGCTTCAGCACTCACAAGTGGGACAAGGCCCAGCGGGGCTTAGGGTTTAGGGTAGGGCCGGGTAGGGGTTACTTAAGGCTTTTGTTGCTAAGGGTTCAGGGTCCGTGGATCAAGTTCGGTCCGGAGAGATGATGCCGGCGAGTGCAAGCACCTGGCGTCCGTCTGCTGCACCGACCCTTGCTGCATCTGTTGCTCAGCTCATCTACGACTTCGCCGCAGAAAGCGGGGAGTGTGCTGAAAGAGGCTCAGGAGATAGAGCACGGCTTCCACCCAGTAGCCATCACTGCATCTCTGCTCCATCGGAGAGATCCCGCCGCCGGAGCTCCGAGGAAGGCCGGATCCGGGCCTGAAGCCAAAAGCCTCCAACCCTAAAGCCCTGCTCTCAAAGTCTCGACCCTAAAAAAAAAACATCTTTCGATCCCTAAGCCCCTGGATCCTTTAAAAATTCCCCCTGTTTTTTGGCACCCGGAAGCCCCAACTTCTTGCAAGGTCCTTGACGAGCCGGAAGTAATGCCGGGGCCACTGCTCCGTCGATATCAGGTAGTGGCCCTCCCTTTCCTGATCCGTCGGCTGGTTAGGGTCCCTTTTAGGATGCTTTATCTGGGACCTAAACAGGGGCCCCAATTTAGAGCCCTGCCTATTTGGGGGTTTTGGGTTTTAAAGGGTTTGGGGTTGCAATCTGGAGCTTTGGGGGTTTATGGCTCCAGGGCTGCTTCTCGGATTCCGGGCTTAGCTTCGGGCTTGCACTTTCCCGCTTTAGCCCCAGGCCCTGGACGCCCGCATAAGCGCAGGGACGGTTTGGGCATTCAGCCGTATAAAGACAGAAGGAGACTTCAGCACAACCTTCTCTGCCATGCACTTTTGTTCCTGCAACATTCCTGCTACCTTTGCAACACTCCCTGGTTTAAGCCCGAAGCCTAACACATAAACCCTTCAACCCTCAAAAACTTCAAGGTCCTAAACCAAACCGACCCCACGGCCTCTAGTCTAGAAAAACAATCAATATAGGAAACAAACGCCTGCAAGGCCACAGCAACAGCCCGTTTGTCAAACTCCTACTGCCAAACCCCTAAACCCTAAACCCTGAGCCCTTTCTTATGCAACAGGCCCCGTTGTCCAGCAGCCCGGTTTAGCCAAACACACACCCCCCGAACCTACAGCAAGGAGAGCATGCGAGCTGACACCTCCGAGGAAACTGCATTGAAATGTAAGCAAACCCTAAACCCTAGACCCCTACACCCCTAACCCCTACACCCCGCCACCCCAAACCCCCTAACCCCCTAAACCCCTAAACCCCCAAACCCGAAACCCCCAAGTAATCCCTTAAACCCTAAATCCCTAACCCCTACACCCCAAACTCCTAAACCCCCAAACCCCCAGTTATACAATCCCCTATAGACCCTGAACCCTGAAGCCCTTCAAGCCCCAAGCCCCAAACCCTAAACCCCCTAACCCCCCAATTAATCCCCTGCACCCTAAACCCTGCACCCCTTCAAGCCCCAAACCCCAAACCCTGAAGCCCTTTCAAAGCCCCAGAGAGCCTGGAAGACAAGATGTCCGGCCGGCCCAGGATCTCCGTCCCAACCGCTCACAGTTCCGCTGGGGTTGTTCCGTAGACTTACGTACCTGGGCTTCTCTGGGGGTTTAGGGTTTAAGGGTTTAGGGGCTTCTAGGGTTTAGGGTTCTAATTTAGGGGCTGTTCTTACATACCTGGGCTTCTAGGGTGTTTTGTAAAACGGTTTCTAGGGCTTTTTTGTTGAGGTTTCTAGGGTTTTAAGGGCTCTAGGGTTCAGGGTTGAAGGCTTAGGGGCTTCTAGGGTTTATGGTTTAAGGCTTGGGGGTTTCTAGGACTTAGGGTTTAAGGCCTAGGGGCTTCTAGGGTTTAGGGTTTAAGGCTTAAGGGTTTCTAGGGTTTATTGAGGCCATGGAGTTTCGTTTTTTTTGCAAAGGTTCTAGTGGGCTTCAACGATTTCACAGCTTCTGGATTGAGGTTCGTGGGTACCTTCAAGTGTCCGGGCGGGGGCTCTAGCTTTAGGGCTTGATGGTTTAGGAACTGTTCTCCAAGTGTTGTGCTGGACTTTGTAATTGTAACTCCTACCCTCGTAGAGGGTTCGAAGTACGTAGGCAGTTCAACAAGCACCGGAGAGGCTAGTCAGAGGCGGCTGTCCTTTTGTTTGGAACGAGCGGAGAACCCAATAAACAACCGCCCCTGACGCAAAATAGGCCCATAGCAAGTCCAACAGCCTTCATTCAAGCATTTGACAAAGGGAACCCTCGTTCGAAACGCCAGATAAGTACAAAAATTAGGGTTTAGGGTTTAGGTTACGATCCAAATACGGATCTCTAGGACGATCCAGGGATGTCTCAACGATCCAGGAGGTCTCACCCCTGTGCGCCTTTTCGCACCTACGCAAGCATTTCTAGAACCCTTGCCGCTTTCTAGCAACCCTCGTGAAAACAAAAACGCCTGAACCAACACAGGCAACGCCTTACAGAACCCTAAGCCCTAAACCCCTAAACCCTAAACCCCAAAGCCTTTACAGCCCTCGAGAACCCTTGCAAGAACCCTAAATTACTAAAGAGGGCTCCCAAAACACCTAAATCCAGGGTTCGGCCTTTGAGGCCAAGTCTTCACCGAGAGCAGGGTAGCCATGGTTCCATGGACCATCGCCCCTGAAGGGATGGCTCAGTCTAGCCGAATAGTAGGGTTTAGGGTCGAGGGTTCAGGGATTAGGGTTTAGGGGTTTAGGGATTAGGGATTAGGGTTTTGGGGTTTAGGGTTCAGGGTCAAACACCTACTCCTTAAACTTCAATTTGCTACCTGAGTTCACTGTAGCTTTAACTTGTGTACCCCTGCACCCTTTTTGCACAGACTTGTACATGCCTGCCCGGCTCTCTAAGCTGCTACCCCAAACCCCTAAACCCTAAACCCTATACAACCTAAACCCTAAACCCTAAAACCTAAACCCTACAACCTACACCCTAAACCCTTTTCCACAGGCTTGAACTGAGCTCGCCCGGCCAGATCCCTCGCAGCACATCGCACTCGTGGCGAGATGCGCAAGGCTAAGTACGCACAATCCTNNTGCTGCAAATCATCTCCTTGACTCTGAAACCCTAAAACCTAAACCGCTAATTAAAACCTAAACCCTACAACCTAAACCCTAAATTGTGTGGCCCCCGTTCTAGGCTTTTTTTAAGGCCAGCCCATGTGGTGGGGAGTCGGACGTTTCGGACGTGTAGGGCCTTCGGCTTCGGACTTTCGGCTCCTCGGTTTGCGGCGTTCGTCTTCAGTGGCTTGTGGGATGTTTCGGTTTAGGGAGGTTGGGGTTGAAGGTTTAGGGTTTGAGGGTTGAGGGTTTAGGGAGGTTGGGGTTGAGGGTTTAGGGAGGTTGGGGTTGAGGGTTTAGGGAGGTTGGGGTTGAAGGTTTAGGGCTTAGGGTTTAGGGAGGTTGGGGTTGAAGGTTTAGGGTTTAGGGTTGAGGGTTTAGGGAGGTTGGGGTTGAAGGTTTAGGGTTTAGGGTTGAGGGTTTATGGAGGTTGGGGTTGAAGGTTTAGGGTAGGGTTTAGGGAGGTTGGGGTTGACGGTTTAGCGTTTATAGGGTTTAGGGAGGTTGGGGTTGAGGGCTTAGGTTCTAGGGCTTAGAACTTCGGCAGTTGAGGTTCTTAGTCCTCTGAGCGCGTATGTGAGCTTT